GTTTTGTGAGCGCTTAGTTTATACAAATTAGCCACGTTTTTTTAAGTTATCGTTTACAGACACAGAAACGACGTGTCTGGACTCAAATCATTTCCGATACGGTGATACTGTGATTCGTTACAGTGTAAAGGTAGCTTAAGTTAAGAAAAACAACAATTCTTTGCACTTACAATAAGAAACTAAATCAAATGTTGCTTGAATTAAGAAAAACACACTTATTCCACTGGTAGATAATGTTACTTGTCAAGTTGAATCTACTCAAATAAATTAAAATGTTCTTAATTTAAGCGATTTTACCTTACCTAGATATAGTTTTTTGCAGTGAAGAGCGCGATATAAGCAGAGGCTGAACTAGCACACTCCAACTGAACCAAAACTATAAAAGGCTTTGTAATTAAGAACAAATTAGCGTCAGCATTTCTCAGAGTGAAAGCTGCACACAGATAGATCATGTTTATGGACTTTAACATCTTACATCTGGTTCCTTTAAGCAAACATTCAAATTAACAGTGAAATGATTAAAACAACTGTCAAGCACACTTTCTTTGAATCTTAAGCATCTTCTGAAAGCCGAGATTCCCCAATGAGCGAGCCTTACGAGAGCTAAGTGCGCTAATGAGCAATTTTCAATTAAGCATCACACGGCCACAGCCTCGAGCTTCACCTCCCCGGGGACGAGACAAAGCATCGCAAATCAAAGCCTACTGTGAAGTCCAACCACATGTCAACAGAAACTCAATCAGGCAAAACACGACGTCCTAGGAGAGTTTGGGCAACAAGAGATGGAAGACGAGTTACTCAGAGTCCAAGGAGGTGATTGTGGAGATAGAGCCAACGTCTTATTTCTATGTTCAGACTAAAGGGCTTAATACTCAATTTGGATTTTTTTTTTTCAAGGTTGTTCACATTTCCAATTAAATGCGACTTGTATGTGATCTCCAGTGTGAACTTTAAACGCCCCAAAAGTGTCCCGCATGAGCATTGGAGGAAACTACGACGTCAAACGCAGCAAACGAGCTCAGTGTTTACGGAAGTCGCCTAAACGCTGGGCTTGTCTCGCAAAATATGGTCCGGTTCTTCGTAAAAATGGACAGGTTACACGTCCACGGCTGATTCGTTCGTTTGAGTCTTTAGCCTCCTTGTATTTGGCTCGCAGGATCTTTATTTTTCATCGACAGTGGAGCCAGGATCGCCTGTAGCCGCGCTCAAACATTTCTTTGGCAATCATTTCAAAAACCGCCCGGTTCCAGTAAGACCCCTCCAACTTGGCATGAATACAGCGATCCCTCCAAATATTCATAAACTCACTAACCTCGCTTTCCCTCCGTTGATGAGACTCTGAGCCTGACGTGTAGGTGGGATGAATGTGACCTGCCCGTTCACACTGAAGTCGCACGTCAAAAGATCGGATATGTATCGGTTTTAGGAGCACATATCCAAGTGGCCTTGCTCTGTCATCTGTGTCGTTCAGACTGTCATTAAAAGATCAGATACAGGTCGCATAGGGGCGAAAAAAATCTGATTTGGGTCACTTCAGGCTGCAGTCGGAACATGACCTAATTCCTCTCCTTGATTCTGCAGGAAGTGGGTGAGGAAGTCCCGCCCACAGAGGAGATACAGTGAGGAGAGAGGATATAAACTCCTCACTGAGACCAAGGAAGTCTGATTCTTTTATCTGATGTCTGCTCCTGAAGTGTCCCTCATGTTTACTCCTTCCTTCCATGTGGTTTCTTTTTTTTTTTTTGGTACACCACTATGACCAGGGCTGGGTTTCATTAAGAAGTTGGTGATGCGATACATACGTCGATACATAGACCACAATACGATACATATCTCAATACAGTGAGCTTTAGGTTCGATACGATATATTTCAAAACGATTCGATACGGTTCAATGAAAAAATAAAGGCTAAATCATTTAAAATGATAAAAATTTGCTTGGAAGGACTGACATATTTTATAGAAATATTTACCTTTCATTTTGAAGTAATATTAAAGTATTTGGAAGAAAAAAGCTGACAAATTATGCAAAATCATGCACCTTCTACTTGCTTGCACAATTTTCCCTCCGTTACTTTTCCCTCCTTTCTTATAAAAAATCTCATTACTCAAAAAGTAACAACAGTAGCAACAAAACTGTAGTTCTGTAATGAAATAATTAAGTAAAATATACCAAAAATACTCTTGGCGATATATTGATACAGCAGCCCACGATATCGATACTGTATCATCACATTAAACAATACGATATATCGATATTTTGACCACTAATCAATTCCGCTCCAACTCACTTTCTACTGAACGTGTCAGAAGTGTCATTTTGGTCTTAAAATGTTCGTATTAACCCACTCTACATGATCCTGATGTTTTTATTTTACTATTTTGTCCATGAATCAAGGTATGAACATAAATACCAGAGAAATCAGCTTCTTTCCCCAAGATCGCCAATGAGCAGGAAGGGACGTTACCTTCAACAACCTCGCTCAGGATTGGCTCTTTGTTTGCTTTGATACTTCAAACTTCCAAATATGGATCTTGGCTCAAAATTCGGCACTACAACCGCTAACCTCAAACTACTTTAGGACTAACTTCTGGGTAAGACTTTTACAAAGGCCGTACAGATATGGAACAAGAATATTAGGCCAGCCAGACCCTTTCTATTAGACTCAATTATCTCCCTAGTTGATTGCAGCTAAAATGACAACCATTTAAAAAGCCATTTAACATTTCATATCTCCAACAAGAGTATAATTTTCTCAAACAATGGCACAAAATCCAACGCGTGAAAGTCCTCGTACAAAATGCACTCATTGTATATAGACATTTAGGCGCAATTACAAAGACAGAAGAGACTAAATCATACAAATATATTATTCTGTACGACTGTTTGAAAACAATTTAATCAATCATGTGCTAAACACAGAAGCTTAGCATTAAACTTTGTAAATAGAAAGAGCTTTCCTTATTTACTCAATGGGATTTTAATGGGTACACTTCACATTTTCCATACGTTTAATAGCGCTCGGAGTTAAGAGCGATGCCATGGAAACATCAATAGGACGCTTACGGAAGTTTGCATCGTGGAAGATTATAGGCCATTACTTAATCACTCTCAGCAAAAAGGTCTTCAGACATGGCATCTGGTTTATAAAAAGATGGGGAGAGGAAATTCCAAGCTCATTACTGTATTCCTGAGATGAAGATGGAAGATGTAATGGAAATGCAAATGGGTAAGAAATTAAACCTGCATCCACATTTCCGATCTTTTCCCAGATATTTAAGTTACTCTACAATTTCATTCTTCCCTTTGTGGATTCAGTCAGCTTTTAAATAAACGGTAAGTCAGACAATCAACAAGTTTATGTGGGGAAAGTGCACAACCTTGACTAACAAGAGCATGCAAACAATTGATTATTGAATGGACTGTACCGAGCACCCTCTTGTTGAGAAGAAAAAAATGTAAAAGTAACAGTACAACACACAGCAATTTGTTCAACCTGTACACAAAACACTTCAACGAACCCATAATAACCTCCACAGTTTTATTTGAGATGTTTTCTCTTATTTTTCATATAAATGTGAAGCACTTTCTGTAGAAACACAAGGCCATTGCTGCTCAAGTGAAATCTTCAGCGTACATATCATAGAAAAAACTTAACCAGCGGGGGCCAGATCAGCTCATTTAAAATGGATTTAACAAGTCTGAATAGTTAAATTTAGTAGTCATAATTAGGTTTAGATGAAGTCAACCTGGACTGAACCAGGACTAAACCAGGTCTAACATAGGTCTAAAAAAGCATTTACCTGGATCTAGATAAAATCAGGCCAGAATATACAATTCTGAACGTCCTTCTGTCTTACTGTCTTAACATCTATCTATTTAGAGTCTATATCTAAACTAACCTAAATACGGCTTAAACCAAAAGTGAACCAGGTTTATTCATCTTATTGTGGAACTTGTGTTATTATGGAGGTGGTATTATTTCACACAGGGCTGCCGATCTCCACAGTAAATAAGTTCATAAACACTGAATATACATTTTCTCACATTCTCCTTTGAAATGAAAAGGATTCTTGTTTATCTGGTAGCGCCATCACCCAGAAAGTGAGGTTTAGTCACATTTACATTAAAAGTGGGTGGGGCAAAAAAGTTCAATACGTGAAACATGGACTTGGACTATATTGAAACCAGTCTGAAACAGAACCTGGATAAAAGCAGAACTAAACCAGTTATTAAGTAAAACTGTATAAACAAAAAATTAAGACTAATTGCAGGGGGTCAGGTGGAGCACTGCCCCCCCGACAGAAATATGTCACGATATTGATTATATGACATTGATAATATGGCCAATACAAATATTTACCTTTAACATCAATAAATCTAAAAGATTGTATGAAATAAATACAAATCCTAGTCTGAACCAGGACTAAACCAGGACTGAACCAGGACCAATATAGTACTGAACCAGGTCTAAACTAGGTCTAAACCAGGACTAATCTTTGACTTGAGAGAGGGAGAATCCCAAGCCCATGGAGCAGGGTGTCCACAAAGCGCAATCGGGCAACGGTTGCACTTAGCCCTGCGCTGGTCCTTTCGCTCGCGGTCACCTGATGATGCGTCTGCGTACACCCGACGGTCTATGCATTCAATATTAAAGTTCAAATATTATGAGACTGTACTGTTGTATGTGTAATAGCATTTTAACTATTCTGTGTAATATTACAGAAAAGTTAAAATGCACAATGGTGTGGACAGTAAAGTGATCATTTCTTTGTACAGGACAAGGCGTTTCCTTATAATACGCACTTTAAATCTTGAATCTGGTGCCCTGACACTGAAATATTTGCTCCTCCTAGCGCAAAAGTCAAACTCTACCTATGACTAAACCGGAACTCAAATGGGAATCAGTAAGATCACAACCTCAAAAGCTAAAAACCTTTAGGCTAGACCCTGATGGTGCGGTGAGGCAGAGGTGCGACGTTCTACCCAGGACCACTCACCCGATGACGGGATGCTTGAAGCCCAGTTTGGCCGTGGTCTGCTGGATCTCCTTCTCGAGCCAGGCTTGGGGTCGGACCAGGTACTTGACGAACTGCGAGACCCACCAGACGGAGGGGTCGCCGTGGAGCCTCTGGAGCCGAGGGGCCAGGTCCTCGGGGATGGCCAGGGGCAGGTAGGGAGGGCGCGGGTGGAGACTGTCCACGATGGGCAGCTCTACCACCTGGACGTCCTTGTCATGAGCTTCTCCTGGAGACCAAAAGAGAAAGGGAAGGTTTTAGCTTTTTGGGTTTTACAAATATTTCTGATATTTGCTGTGATCATACACTAAAATGATAAAAAATAAGAATCTCAAATTTTCTTAATTACAGATTTCAGAGGTGTCTGTACTTTCTACTCCACTACTCTTTCAGTTTAACAAAATTTCCCACAAAAATGTATCAACATCGCTACACTTAAAGCCTTATAAGTGTCAAAATCTGCCTTTAAGAGTAAAAAGTACAGTCGTCCCTCACTATAACAACCTTTCGCAGATTTTTTTTCCTCCCCCTGCGTCCTGATTGGCTAAGGGATTGGCTAATTAATCTCCTCCACAGTCCAGAATGCATTCAGTCTGCCAAATTTACATAAATGTTTGATCTCTAGCAGTGTGATTCCGAAGTGCTGTATGTTTGCAAGTTTTCTCCCCGACAAAACTCACAATGTACAAAAACAAAACATTCTGCACCAAAAAAAATTTCCTGCGGTCGCACCCAAAAGGCAGAGGAAAACGCAAACCATCGCACAAAAAGTTGGACTTCTGGACATGCTGAAGGAAGATAGAAGTTAAACAGCTGTAAGCGCCATTACATAATAAAGTAATCTTCGGTTCGTTACATAAAGAAGGAGGAAAATAACAAAAGGACAACAGCAGCGATAAGTTTTAAAAAGGATGCAAAAAAGGTTGTAACTGTCCTGTCTGAGAAAAGTGTATAAAGTGTGTGGTGAGGGGTTTTACAGATTTAAAACAGATATAATAATTGTAAAAAATAAAGCTGACGACTTTGTGGATTTTTAGAACGTAAACCCTGCGATAAACAAGGGATCACTGTACAAGGATTTATGTAGATACTTTTACTTTATTTATTTATTGTTTTGCTGTGGTAACTCTACTTTTACTTCAGTAACAAAATTAAGTACTTCTTCCACCACTGGTATCCATTAGTAGCCAGGCTAGTGCCACCTAGTGCCTTCTCTCAAATTCATTTCTCTCCAGCGACTAGGTCAGGAATCAAAACACACTAGATGGTTCGCAAAAACCCCGGAAGTGCGAGTTTTGGCACCAACCAATCAGTGAAGAGCCATACATTCTGTGTTGTCAACGATTCCCAAGATCGAGGATTTAAAGCCAGAACAAAGAGAATGTTTGGTGAATTTTATCAAGGGGAAAGACGTTATTGCCCTTCTTCCTACGGGATTTGGGAAAAGCTTCATATACCAGTTAGCCCCTTTAGCGGCGCATTACATACATCGCAACCAAATAGCAGCGATTGGTTAAATAAAAAAAGTACCCGCCTACCGTCGAGCGAACGAAATGTCATTCTGTGAGGTCAGACGATTTCTACGAAGTGAAACCGGCTGATGAATCAGGCAAATCCATCAGGGGGCCACAACCAAAAATCTGCTAAATGCCTAGAACTGGCCCTGCTTCAATTGTAGTGTATAAGTTCACAAATAGACAATTCAGTTCTGTAAATATAATTAGGAAAATGGATCCGGGTTAATATCTAATTATATTTTACTGATGATTGTGCAAACATACAGACACGTCCAACAAAACACGCCCAGTGCACTGAAGCCAGATAACAACATGTTACTATACCAAATACTGTATGTGTACCAAACACAATTCAAGGATAGATATATAGACCGTCCTTTCCACTAACAAAACGACACACAATTCTAAAGTGAATGCTCCATAGAGAAAACAACACTGTTCCATCTTTACAACATAAGGCGGCGTTTACTACTGCTGTTTATAAAAGTGCCTTATTTTGTACAGAACAAAACAATGAGCCCAGGGAGCTTTGGAAAGTGGCAATGACACGACTTACAATAAGCAAAGTCTCAAGATATTTTATTGGGGCTATAAGCTGTCGCCCTTGTGCCCTTTAGCAATCACCTAAGGAGTCTTTTTGGAGGACAAAGACATATATACAACTGTATACTCTATACTGTAACACTAAATCCTGCTCTGTGCCAAACAAATATTTATTACAATCATTTTTAAATTGGCAACAACATGATTTTCTTTTTAGGGTTTGTATCAAATTTAAAGGGGACATGTCTTAGGCTACATTCAGACTGCAGGGCTTAATGCTCAGTTCGGATTTTTTTTTGTGAAATCCGATGTTTTTGCGAGGTCGTTCACATTTCCAATTAAATGCGACTTGTATGTGTCTCCAGTGTGAACATTAAACGGCCCAAAAGTGTCCCGCATGCGCACTGGAAACACGACAACGTCAACCGCAGCGAGCGTGCTCTGTGTTTACGGAAGTTGGCCAAACACTGATACGAGCATTGAGCACCTGGCGATTTTAAAGTTCCTCTCGTACCGGAGCCAGAACATGAACAACTTATTTGTTGTAAGGAGGAGATTGAGAAGGAGAAGGACGAGGTTTTTGGCCGTGGCGTTTTGTGGGGCAGTCCATTGAAAAGAATGTGTGGATGTGGAAACGTAGCCAAGAGTGGTGGGACAGTGATGTGCTTCGCTTCAGTGACACGGAGTTCATTATCAATTTTTGTATGACGAAAAGAAAGTTTGTGTACATTTGTGGCTTGTTGATAACGTGTAGGTCGGATGAATGCACTTTGGCCGTTCAGACTGAAGTCGCATGTCAAAAGATCAGATATGTATCGGTTTCAGGAGCACATATCCAAGTGGTCTGGGTCGCATTTGAAAAAATCGTCATTAAAAGATCAGATACAGGTCACACAGGGGCCAAAAAATCGGATTTGGGTCACTTCAGGCTGCAGTGTGAACGTAGCCTTAGACTTAGACAAACTTTATTGATCCAAAAGTCATGGAAAATTGACTTTTCTTTAAGTCCAAGACTGTTCAAAAATATACCAGAGTTGCACTTTGCTTCATTCACGCTTATCTCAGATTCAGATTCAGATTCAGAAAACTTTATTGATCCCATAAGGCAATTCATCTTTAGTGAGCAGTCAAAAAGCCACTGTTTGTATTTCACCTGGATTGTTGTGTCACAGATTAAACTCCAGACTTCTCCTGTGCATTTTTAAAATCCATAAATCTTCACTGCACAAACAAACAGCCGAACGCTTACGGCTACATTAGAGGCAGAGGTGTAGTTTATCAAATATATTTACCAAATGCAGATATTTGAGTTAGAAAATGTGAAATCCAATCCCGAGGTGACCAAAAGCAATGTTTAAAAGGCAATTAAAGCCAAACCTGCCTCACACCATATTGCGGATCAAATTTATTTCTTTATTTGAATGTGGTGGAAGCATCACAACAGCGGAACAAGTCGAAAAATCTAACTTTGGTTAAATTCAGTTGAGGGAAAAGCACAGACAAAGACAATAAAATAGACTGAAGTATCACCATGTTTATTTTGGTTCGTTTGGGGGCTTCAACTTTGGCTTCTGCACAAACCTCAATGCTGTAACGTGATTGGTGCACCAGGATGAACGCTACTAGAGTTTGTGAATTAACAATTATCACAAAAGTCCATCGTTCTGTACAAGGTTAATTCATGCTACAAGAATGCATAATATATGTTCTTTAAACTTGCTCAGATTGGTTCGGGTGACCAGTTTTCCAAGGCCATTGTGTGTTTGACATGCCCACAAACAATACCGGCAATAAATAAAACAGCGCATTATTCACCATTACTATGCGTGCCTCGATATACCACTAGGTTATGCCAAGTCCTCAGAAGGCCAAAATTGTATTTCATAATTCATCCAGAAGTCTCCAGGTCTCCACTGTTGCCCTCCCTGTGCGACCCAAAGCCCCATTCCTCGTCCTTGCTGGGAGGCCGAGCTGTCAACTCCACCCAAGGCCGAGCAGCGCCGAGGGGGCAGAGCCGGGCACTGGGAGGACGCTGCTATGGCCGTCATCAAGCCGATTTTTTTGGTGAGTTTGGTCTCTTAACATAGAACTTTTCACGTGGAAACAACTGCACTGAAAGATGTTTTAATACTGAATTTGATCAGCCTGCCTCCATAGAATTATATGGGACATCGTAATTTTAACAGGTGTTTTCTCAAAATGCATTTCCCCTAATAGGAGACATAAGGATCAGCCCTTAAAAAAGCTCTTACAAACATCAAACTTTATAATCCTGTACTTAACAAGATTAAAAAAAAAAAACATACAGAAGGACTTTTTTTTTATATATATATGTAATTCCAGGTCTGATTTATCCATTTATCCATTTTCTTTCGCTTATCCAGGGTCAGGTCGAGGGAGCAGCAGTCTAAACAGGGACTGCCAGACTTCCTTCACCCCAGACACTTCCTCCAGCTCCTCTGAGAGATCCCCAAGGCCAGCCAAGAGACATAGTCCCCTCGGCGTGTCCTGGGTCTTCTACCGATGAGAAAAATGAGAGGAAATTTGAATTGAAATTTGACTTTTTAAGGCAAATTCTTAGTCAGGTCTAGTTTACGCAAATACTAAATGAGATATCCAAATTTCCTTCTGTATGTTTTTTAGTATCTAATCTGTCCACAAAAACAAGCAAGAAATTTAAACCTGGCGCTTTTCATGTTTCTGTTTTGATTGTCCCAAAAATGGTCAAGTTTTGTCTGTTTTTTCACATAAAATGCCTTATTTTTATATGTGAAAACAATACATGATGAAAAACTTGTAATGCGTTTTTTTCTTATATTTATGTGAGCAAACTACAGAAGAAGTTTCGGTAACACTTTTTAATAACTATACCTTATTTAGCCTTAATAAAGCATGAACAAAGACTTAATTAATAATGATTCAGGCTTAGTAACTACTTAATTACTACCTGAATTAGCACTTAACTTGCACTTAATTTGCCTGTGCTGTAAATAGTTACTCAATACTTCTTAATTACTCATGAACTAACCATTTACATGTTTACAAATGCATATTTAAGTACATATTTGAGCATTTATTAATGATTAGTAAGTTATGAGAGAATGATTTACTAATAATACAATGCAATGATCATTCAGGCAGCTGTTATCTGTTAGTTAAGTCTTTCTGA